GTAGATTTTGTTTTTACTTATTTTAGACACAAATGGAACCATACATTTTTATTTTTAATTATTATTATTATTATTATTACGTAGTGGGTCAACATAGTTTTATTGTGAGAATCTCCCCCCGGAAGTGTTGTCAGCAGTTCCGCACCATTTTTATCAATCAACACAGAATACAAACTCTCAAATAGGATAAAAAAGAATAAATAAAAAAAAGATAGTACAGATGAAGACAAAATACAATTCAAAAGTGCAAAGTATAAAATCTAACAGCAGAGGATTCATGAGTCAAGACAAACATTTAAGTCAAACAAGGAAGGAGCCATATATTTCTAGCATAAGGATGACAATAGGAGTAATTTGGAATAGCAGAAGTAATTGTCCATGTTTTTTTGGGTATATATAGTTTAAAGTCTTTTTTTTATTAACTTTTTAATCTTAATAATGAAGAATTTCACATTTGGAAATCCTTGAATTTGATCAACATTAATGCAGTGGGGGGAAAAAATCCATAATTGAAGGTTCATTTCTAAACACAATCCCAGAACCCCTTTATTATGCTCGTTATTGATAAAAAAAAAATAAAAAAAAAGATAAATAAATAAATGCAGTCTAAGCCTTATAATCTATATTTTAGTGATTAAAGTAGACTAGAGTTTTGGGGGCATTCTGGTCATCACATCCTGCTCACTAGGGGTTTGATAAAACGGGGCTAAGCACGTGGAAGAAATCAACCAATAATCCAATCATCAGTGCCAAGATTATGGCACTGCAGACATTTATAGTCAGAGAAAGAATTAGGAACAGAGAAAAATCATTAGTCTTTGTCTACATGCTAGACACTTGTTTTGGAGCCATACCAGATTCTCTTTTAGCATCCAAAAAAATGAATATATATTAAATAAAAATCTAGTGGTATGTGGGAGAAAAAAAGTTTCCCATTACCGGGTCTTTTAGAAGAACAGATTTAAAGTGTATAGCCAAATCAACATAGAAAAAGCTTTTTCATGGAGATGTTAGTCAGACACAAAAATAACCACCTTTTGTGAACATCTTGGTCCAAAACCTAGATCCAATGAAATCTAATGGGGTGAGTTAAAGAGAAGAAAGCATCAGAAGCAGTGATCTAGACAGACAGACTGTTTTATTCCTAGAGAATGAGGTTGCATTAAGTAATTTTATTCCTTCACAATAAAATAGTGGATTAATAAGAAAAAATAAACAAAGTCCTGGTGACGGAGGATTTTTCTTCCTAGATAGAGCATGTATTTAAAAGTACATTTTATATATTTCATCACTAAGTGCAGACAATATTAGTTTAACATTATAAAATATGAATGGCCTGCTGGTGAATGTGCAGCTTAGAGTGCATTATAAATGATAGAGTAAAACACTATTAACTAATTACGTGTGAGTATTTCTCACCAGGTGAGAAAATGTGCACACCTAGAATAAAGAGTGGGCGGGACCTTTTGAAAAAAAAAACAGTCTGCTGTGGAACTTTATCAGGGAATAAATCAGCCTTATTAAATGTCTTTCAGTGTGAGTTCATGTTACCACATTAAAGATGAGTTTTTGATCATTTTCCCCCTTAGGATCAAAATGTAGCTTATTTCACAATTGACTATTTCGCCGTTGTCCAAGGGACACATTTAAAGTACATCTGCCTGTAGTTTACACTAAATGAATTAAAACCATGACAAAGCAACAAGATAAGAGTTAAGAATTAGGAGTTCTTCTGGTTGTATTATTTTCTTATACAGTTAGTCTCTGTTTCCTTTGAAGACCGTTAACCGCCTCCATTTTCCTCCCTGTATCCCCAGGCTGACAGGAGCTGGAATCCTCTGACAAGACTCGACAGGGATCAGGAATCCAGCCTCTCCCTCCCAGCCACAGCCTCTATGTCTTCTAAACATGCAGTCAGTCCAAAGCCAGTTATAAAGCAGCAGAATTGGAGGAAGAAGCACAGAAGCAGGGGGAAAAAAAGCTAAAAGATACGAGCAAAAAGTTTTACAAAACTTCTTCATATTTGATCTTCTCTGAATTAAGACCACCTAGTTAAAGAAGTTTATTTTTCACTTTAAAGTTAGTAGAGCCTCTGGTTCTTTTATGTACTTCAGCAGTTGCGTCACCCAAGAGGAGAAGGAGACAAGGAGGCAGGAGTTATTGTTATGCAGAACCCCTTTCTACTGTGATATCAGACTTTTGGGTGTGTCTGCACCACCTTTGCACACCCAGAGAATAAACAAGTTTGAAGAGAATTTAAACTGGCCTTATATCTGGACTTCAACAAGGCCAATTTAAGATGAATATTAATTGATCTGCTATTTTACCTCTAAGTGTATGTTTGTGGTTAAATTGCTGCTAAATCCATTTCCATCCCTGTGTTTCTCTGCCTCTAACTGGTTGTGATCATGGATGCTCTGTGTTTACTTTGATCTATCTTCCCATTAAGTCTGATGGACTCTTGACTTGGGTTCCTCTTTACTTTCAATAGACATTTAAAATGGAATCTAATCAAAGATTCCATTCTTGTTCATGTAAATGTATACATTTAGTAAATACTGTATGAGACGTGGTTGGATCGGTGCAAATAGGCGTGGAAGAAACTATCTAAGTGATGGCAGGTGTGCGTTTGTGCCCAGGATATGTGGGATCTGCAGAGATGTTAGCGGCCCATTTTTCCGGACCTTAGACCTGAACAAGTCCTGGACAGAGGGAATGTCGGCACTTAGGATCATCTCAGCAGATCTAACTGTTCATTAAAGTCTTCACCTGACTTGTTTTCTAAATGATCAATATGGAGAAACTGATAACCATTTGTTAATCTGTATGTCCTGAGTCGGTCCTCGTCAGTGAGGCTGTTCCCTGCACTATGAACAACTGTTAAACAGGATCTCTTTTTAGAACACCTTTCTTCTTCTCACTCTTCCATAAACACCAGATTTCTTGAATGCACAACTGACAGCTGTTCTTTCAACAGATTATCCACCATAACCTGTGGATGTTTGCATCTCCTGAAATGTATTTTTGAATATATTCTGAAGTAAGAGTTAAGCTAAATCTCTTTAACTGCTTGGACAGAAATATTGAACGCACTAAAGACTAGAGGTGAGAAATGCTTCATTTAGTGGTTCATTATTCCTGCACCCTTTTTAAACATGTAATTATATATGTCTAAACATGGTCTAAAACAGTGCTATGTGTGGCAGAGCTAATCCCAGTCTGACTACGAGCTGAAGCACAGACGGGATGTTGAAATGTTTCTCAGAGGGTAACATCTCACTCTACTCTGCAACTAGAACATAATGCCATGCCATCTTCTTCTGTCCTTTAAACCATCTCTGTGGATTCTAAAAATGTAACTAGATTTCATTCTTCCATGATCAGCCACCATCAAATGGTTTAATGTACAGCTTTACACCTGTGCACCTTTTGCTTTGCTGTGAACCACAGTAGATTTTAGAGAGGAGGGGTGTTCATTAATTGACCAGTCAGCTCAGCTTTCTTACCCTGGAATTAACCTGATAATCTAATGCATATTCATGCACATTAACCATTCTGAACAATGTTGATTTCTGGCTAATCTTATAGTAGAGTTAATTTTAACTGCTTGGTTTATAGCAGGCATCCTCAAAGTCGGTGCTCGGGGGGGCGCTGTCCTGCAGGCTTTAGAGGTTTCTCTGCTCTAGCACAGCTGATTCTGATGAGTGCATTTTTGCAAAAGCCTGTTGATCAGCTATCAATGTAAATCAGCTGTGCTGGAGCAAAGAAACCTCTAAACCCTGCAGGACTGCGGCCCTCAAGGACCGACTTTGGGGATACCTGGTTTATAGGGATGGTACAGGCTTTTAACAAAATATCATAACTTTTCATTTTGGTAAAGGTCAGATCCTCTGCAGAAACTTATCCATTCCTAAGTGGTTTACATTACAACAGACTATTTTAAGTGTAGATTTAGAGTTTTAAAGTGCTACTTCTCAATTATTCCATCCATTCTGTATGATATGCCACTACCAGCAATGAGGCAAGCCCGCACCATTATGCCACCACCACCGAAATTGAAAAGTTCTAGAACAGATATGCGTGACAGCCTCACTTCAAGTTTTTCAAAAATCTTTGTTGGCCTGATCGCTCAATATGCAGCGCCTCCCATCTGATCATAGAACTGTCCTCAGAAGGCATGTGTCTTCATCATGTCAGTAAAAGTAAATTAGACTTATTCAAATAGTCCTTTTTATCTTCAAAACAATATTTTGGGTTCCCCATTTGTAGTCATTTCTATAACTTCTAACCAACCGTTTTTTCATCTAAGGGCCACAGAAGCTTGAACATAACTGGGTTTTACCACCGAAATATGATCCTAAACACACCTCACATGTGTAACTATAGAACAGATTTTATTGAAAAGGTATGCAAAAACCTTGTCAACACATGTAACCCTTAAATGGCAGTTCAAGTTTGAGTAAGAAAGAAATCCACAATAATCCGCTATGCGTTTCCCCAATTCCTTAAGATCGTTTTAAATGACCTTTGCACATCCGGCATCTTGACTCACCTTATGCTTTTTTTTGTCTTACCTTATAACAAATCTGTTCTCCTTGACTTTTTATTTAGATTTATGTTGATTTTTACAATGGAAATTGTTTGTTTTAAGTGATTTATCTCTTTAGGTATATGTTGAACTTTTATTTTAACAGTTGCTTAAAGCTCTTTGGACACAAACCTTAAAAACGTAGGTGTTAAAATAAAAAAATTAAAAATCTTATGGCATTGATGTCAATTATTAGTTGCATTTTAACTTTGATAGGACTGCAAAACTTTATAACTCTATGTGGATTATGTGTTCATATATGTGTCCATGTTTCTTTATGTATTTACTGACATGTTTTGCAGATTTGAAGATCAGGTTAGTACTTATTATTTTCTATTTTTGAGGCAATTCAACTCCTAAACTGCAGGTAACATAAAAAATAAAATAAAATAAAAAGACATTAAGTCAGTGCTATGTAATATATTATTTGCTTTAATAATAATAATGTATATTCCATTAGAAAAATTCAAATCTTCTGTTGCAAAGAGAAGCCCACTGGTAATAAAGTCCCATTCAAAGCAATAAAAATGAGCCACAACACAATGTGGATGTAATATACAGAGACTGGAAGAATGTTGGATGAAAGGATGCCTGATTCAGAGCATCTTCTGAAAAAGTTCTACCTTGTTTGAGGTTCTTCCAAGTCAAGTTCCAAGGTCAGGGTATCACCTTCATGACTGAAAATATTTGCTCAAATTCATGTTGATCAGAATATAATATAAATAATACATTTATATCAGAGGAAGCTGATCATAGTTTTTTTTCTTTTTTTTCATGCAAAATAAAACCCAAATCCCTGCCCTTTTATAAATATATAAACAAAACACTCTGCATGTCCATGAGTTAACACATCCCTCCTTCATCCTTCCCTGCCGAGTTCATTCCGGTGATCTACTGCCCAGCTGATCCGTTAGTGTCATCGCTGTCTGCCTCCCGTGGAGAACTTGGAGTGGATCCTCCGACGGAGCCAGAGGCGGATCCCCCCAGACCTCCCGCCCTCCTTGCTGCCTTTCCCTTCAGCAGGGCGCTGTCCGGGTGCAGGGAGTGCAGGTGGACCAGCAGTTCATCCTGAGTGCTCGCAGTGTGGCCGCACTCCTCGCAGACGTACAGCTTGTTGCGCCGCTCCTTGTAGGCGTACTTTAGGGTGACGCTGTGGATCTTCTTCATGTGGGACTCCAGGGAGCAGCGCTGGGTGAAGGCCTTGTCGCACAGAGTGCACTTGTACGGACGGACCCCTGAAGTAATGAGAGGAAGTCAAAGAGTTAAAAGCTTTCCTGCATCTTGAGGCTTCTTGTGACAGTCAAAGCGAATAGCTACCTGTGTGCGTGCGCACGTGTCTCTTCAGGTCAAACGTGTCGTTGAAGCCTTTGCCGCAGTAGTTGCACAGATGTCTCTTGGTCTCACTGTGGCACTTGATGTGTCGGTTCAACATGCGCTGGTACTGGAAAGTCTTCTGGCAAACCTGAGACCAGCAGGCACATCATTTAGCTGACAGCATGACATGGAAACACTTCGAGTCTTTAAGGCTAATACTACTACTATGGAATAACTTTCATCTTATATTTGGAAAAGAAGCAGATAACTGTTTGAATTTACAGATTTCTCTATTTCTCTAAAAGTCCCATTTGGATGCAAAGATCCTATCGAGATCCGCCTGACATCACTGCTACCAAGCAAACTTGAATGATGCGCATACCATAACTAGATATAGCGACTTAATATCACAAAGTTTTTTTTTTTTTTTTATCACTGCTGCTTACTTTATCAAGGCTGCACTTTAAAAACATGATATTGTCTAAAGCGCTGTTCTAAACGAAATTTCTTTTTGTTTACACTTGTGTATACAAAAAAATAAATCGGTCTAAGTACAGCAAATCAAAACTGAAGGTGAGACATCATTTATTTCACATCTGCTAGATATAAAAGAGTACCAATCGAGACCAAAGGGGTTCTCCAATTCCTTTTATATTTCTCTCTTTAGAATAAGGTCTCACAAGCTGTTTTTCCATTAAAAATATGCGCAAAACTCTTTTGATTTCTGCTAAATTTGAAAATGCCAAAGTTCCACATTGGCGATATTTCCTTTAAATTTGAATTTTTTGTCTGTGAGGCAGACACCCTGTCTTCTTTTAATGGTAGGCTTAACACTTTCCTTTTCTATTAAAGCTTATAGTTAGAGTGGCTCAGGTTATCCTGATCTATCTCTATAGTTATGCTGCTATAGGCTTAGACTTCTGGAGGACTTAGGGACCCTTTTTTCCATCATAATGCTTCATTCTATTTCTATTCTTCCACTCTGCAGAATCTGTTAGTTCAATCTCTAACGTTATGCTCTTTCTCAAACTTCTCTCACATCTCTCCCTTTTTCTCGTCCTGAGCAACGAGAAAAAAAGAGACAGAACGTTTGTAGCTTGTTTAAATGTGATATCTCTACTTGGAAGCCCTCTCTCAGTTATGTCTGTGGTGGCAGTGGAGCAGGGGTTAAAACATGTGACCTTTTCATGGAGCCCCGGCTGCCCAATGTGTCAGTTTACTCACAAATAAAGCTACTAAACAAAAAAAGCTCAGATTTATATAATGTTTCTTTATTTCTCCTTCAAAATAACTAAGATTTGATTGAGATCAGAGCCGCACTATTATGGGATCTCATGTGTTTATCCCACTTCTCAAGTATTTTCTCAACTTAGTCTCCTAATGTCTTGTTGATGTCTTGTCTCTGTTTAGCTTATCTCTTGCTCCAAAGCCACCCTTAGGAGAAGTAAATCAGAAATAAGTGATTCAAGAATGAAACTAATATGAGAAGCTTAAACGGATCCTGTGAGATGAAACTGAACTAACAAAACACCCTTTGTGATTCTATTTTTTCCCCAAGAGGTTGAATTTTGATTGTATTATATCTACAAAATACCTACCCAGAGCTCACGGTTTAATTTATATGAAATTACATCTTAAGAGCTTAGAGGTAATCGATTGAATATTTTTCTTTCCGATTAAATTTTACTTAAACAAAACACACAGTTTGTCATCGAATCTTAACAGTTTATATCAAAAGATATTATCATTTTCAGAAAACTTCCTAAATACAATTTTAGCTATTATGATAAACTTTTCTTGAATTAAAAAATATGGTGCTTCTTCATTGATGCAGAAAAGATACCTAAAGATACAGGTTACTTTCCTAAGGCTTACTGGCTACATTTCTGTAAAAAGTAAAACCTTCCAGTTTTTTAAGTCCCAGGATCTTTTTTCTTTGAACTTACAGAGAACATTCCTGGGCGTCGGGGGTTAACTTTTTTGAACATACAGATCGCTTTCTTTGCAAGAATTTACAGGCTGTTTCCTAAAAGCTAACAATTGTTTTCTCCGAACTGGGACGTTACTTTCTTCAAAAAAATTTCATGCTTTTAAAATTCTTACTTCCTCAGAACCGTCGGATCACTTTAAGGAATTTACAAGTTTAACAGCAGATAAAAATTCTACTATTTTAGAATGGATCTGGAGCAATCAATGATGAATCAAAGACGGAGTGTCTTGTAGTCACCTGGCACACATACGCTCCTGTCATTGTAGGGGTAGCGCTCTGACTTTGACCCGCTGATCTGTTCACAGTAGTTGGAGCCTCTGAAGGGCCGGGGGGCAGAGCTTGCTGGGGGGGTGCTGGCGTAACAGGGGGCTGTGGAGGTAGAGGCTGTGGGTTGGAAATTTGGGGACGAGCTTCAGGAAGAAGAGAGGGATCAGGAGGAAACACGCCTGTAGTTACCTGTCAGAGAGAGAAGTTAAATTAACAACATTTAATGAAATAATTTACGATTAAAACAGCTTCCTTTTCTGACATCCTAATTAAAGATGATCTGTTTAAATTTTTTAAAGAATATCTTAAGTAATAGACTTCAAATACCTCAATATTTTTTCTGATTCTGCTAACAGAGGCCTAATGCCGTTTCTCCTTCCTCACCTTCATTTTAGATCGGATGTACAAAGAGTCGCCATGCAAGCTCCGTCTGATATTCGACTTCCCCTCTGGCGAACCCGCTAGACTTCGCGGTTGTCCAAGCAGCGTGCTGGACGGCAGCTCAGCGTGACTGTCTGATGGAGAGCGTTTGGTGAGGCAGAGAGGCACAGTCTCTGCAGGGCTGGCCTCAACTTCTGTCATCAAGACCGACGGCGGGAAGATGGAGACTGGAAGATAGACGGATAAAAAAGTTATCACCACTTATACTGTGTTATGGACATTAACATTAGAATAATCTGTTTTTTCTTTATTACTTCCACTTTTTTTAAAAAAATAGTGTAAGATGTCAAACCAGGAAGTGAAAAAGATGTGGTGTTCAATCCAGGTAAGAATTAAATTAGGTCATAATCACTTTTGGACATTTCAAACATAGAAATGTCCATTCTTTTTGATCAAACAGATCGTTTATCATCATTATAATATAATATAGTATATTGTAGTTCTTTTCCATTTGCTTTGTATCTGAATCTAATTGAATATAAGCAGACACATCCAGATTAGAATAAAAAAAAAAGCCTTCAGTTAAACCTTTACAGTGTACAGCTGAGAGAAAATAAATAAAATTGGAAGCTCTGACGCAAACAAGAGCAGCAAATACTAGGGTTGTCAAAAGTATCGAGACTCAAAAAAGTATCGATACCAAAATGTTGTATCCGGATACAATACTCATTTTTAAAAGTATCGATACAGTGCTACAGTGCTTTGTTTCTTAACCAGTTTGGCTAGTGTCATTGTTATGTGTGCAAAGCATAGCCAAGGAAGGAACACTTTTTACATTTTATAAGTTTTTTATCAAGCTTGCTTAATATTGTGCACAGCAAACAACCTCAAAATATTGTTCTTATTGTTTATTGTATTTATTTATTGTATTTTATTTATTAATGAAAATATTTCTGTAGAATTTTGGAGTCTTTGTTTTTATCCTTGTGGTATCGAAAATGGTATCGATTATCAAGTATTTTCCTTAGTATCGGTATCGAGTTGAAAAGTTTAGTATCGTGACAACCCTAGCAAATACTCAGCAAAAACATACACTGGATAAATATTTATCTCTATTACAAACATAAAAACACAATTATGAGCTAAAATAATTTAAAGGTGCTGGGCAGAAACAATTAGTGAATGGGGACAAGACTGTTTATTTAGGGTAAGAAATTATTGCAGGAAGGAAAGAAATGATAAAGGCTGGGCTCCAAAATGGTAAAGGTCACCAGGACCGCGGTTCAAAGTGAAAATATAACCGACCAATATACTTAGTTATTTCTGGATATTGTTTATTGGAGTGATATAAATCCAACTGTAAAATATATAAATCTGATTAAAATTGCTAGCAGTTGAAGTGTTTCACTTAGGAATAGAGAAATTAAACCTTAAGGTGACAGCCCGATTTAGTAACTATACAGAAAATGCGAAAATGACTGCAACTCTTACATTTCCAGAACATTTGTAAAACCCTATGTTTCTAAAAATTGGATACTTTCCTTTACCCTTGACTGTATTTTGTTATATGTTATTTCCTTTTTGTATAGAATAATTCAAGCCTGCTATGTTCACCCAGAAATAGAACCAAACATGGAGAAGCAGCATTTAGTTCCTATGCTCCATTTATGTGGGACAAACTCCCAGAAGACTGTAAAAGTACTAAAAGCCTGAGTTCTTTTAAGTCAAAGTAAAAAAATCCATTTGTTTAGAACTGTCTTTGACTGTTGATGTTAATCTATGAACTGAGGTATTATTAGTTTAAGGTTGTGGTCCAACTGATTAATGCTTGCTTTACTACCTGCTTTTTTTTTTTGTTTCTTTACTTGCTTTTATTCAGTTTTTTTTTACTGTTTCATTCATATAAAGCATTTTGAATTGTCTTCGTAATGAACTGTGCTATTTAAACCAACATCCCTTGCCTCCTATCTTTTAATAGAAAAAAACTAAAGGTACTTGGTGCACTGATTTATAGGGAAGTGGTATTCTATACCGTCAATGATGAATATTAAACCTGACTAAATAGTATTTACTCAAGAGTTTCCATAGAATGCAGGTAAAAGAATTGCGGTCTGCAAACAAGAAAAAAAATGTTCTAACAGGTTCACCTTTATTAAAACCCTTTGAAGATGCTTTCTTGATTTTTTTATTACTTTAACATTCTGCTCACTAAATTAGCTTTAGTCTTAAATTTAATGAAAGAACCTGATTCCTGATTTAACAAAAGAAAAGTTGAAAAGTAGAAAATCTGATTTTAAAAAGTCTTTTCAGGCGGGTGAAATAGAATACTGTTTACGCAGCGATGGAAATGCAAACAGGGGAAATTAGGGAAAATTATTATTCCATTACTGGGTTTCACAAAAGGCAGCTATCGTCCACCACTTCATATTTGCACAATTGCTCTTCTAGCAAACATACATAATAAAAAAAAAAAGTGTGTTTGTGTGGGTAGGTGTGCTTCTCTTTGGCTTATTGTTGAGTATGCCTTACTTTGCACGCAGACACATGCCTAGAAACACACACGCACCAACCTATACAAAGACATCCCCATTACAGTTAGACTTGCTGAACCAGCTGGTCTTGCAGCACCAGCTCTTTACCTTCCTCAAACAATCCACCTCCGCAGGGCTGAGCGTCTCCATTCGCTCAGGTGTGCTCCCCATGTGGAAAAAGGTGCACACAAGCAGAACGTAACAAAAACGTCAAATAGAGCAACGTGATTGACAGGGAAAACCAACGGCACTTTATAAAGGCGTGCTTGTCTGCGTGTTTCAGGTAACCCATTGGCAGGTGTGGCTTGTCTAAGTGAAAACAAGGAATCAGTTTAGGTTCTCAGGCCAGAATCTGATAAAACCCAAATGTAAATGCAAATGAGGCCCCACAGCTAGCTTTAAAGATGAGAAGACACAAAAGCTGATCTATAAACTTACAGAGTTAACGGTACGCGGTGACACAAGGAGGGCTCTGTGCAGCCATAGCAGCATATTTGGTAATGTAATGTCACCCACAAACTTCAGAGGATTTTAGGACTGGGATTACAGAGAAATGAGCAGATTATTATGAAGTGCTACCAAAAATACGAAATAATGACTACATTTCTTTACAATTTCAGATTATTGTTCTGACATGACTTCTAATTTAAAATCCAAATTTGGGGTCTTAACCTGGGAATTTAAAAACATAATTTTTCTAAAATAATAATAATAATAATACATTCTATTTGTAATGCTCTTAACCAATAACAAAATCTCTCAAAGTGCTACAGGTAATAGTCTTTATATTTGTATTTAATCATGTTTAGGAGATAAAAAAAAAGATAAAAAAAAAAAAAAGCTCAAGCAGATCCCTTTTCATACCTCCCTTTTTTTTGCAAGGGTACGCACAAGAATTTGACTTGTGTGTGTGTGAGCGTGTTCATGTGGACTTAGCATTAGCTACATTAGCAGTTTGCCATGGTTAATTTACTATCGTTTGCAGGTCTCCTAATCAATAGGTAAAAAACTCACACAAGGAGCTCCTTACTGACTGCCTGCAGGTGACTTCCTGATTGGTGGCATCGCCTGTTTTGGCATAACAGACACAGGCATAATGATAGCGAAGGAGGCTATAAATACTGGAGGATGATCAATATTGCCCTTTGGGGAGACTGTACTCTTGTTGACGTTCTGTTTTAAACAAAGAGTATTTACACACACACAAAAAAAGCCTTGTTCACACTGGTTTTTCCAGCAGGCTATAACCGAATTCCAGCACCAACACGTTTTAATTTTAGATGAGGTTTAAACTATTTGATCTTCTGGATATCCTGTCATGTTTCTTTAGAGGTGCCAGATTAAGAATCGGTTTACCAGATTTGACAAAAATCCATTCACCCATCGGTCGATGGCTTCATGATCATATACCTCAATAGCCTTAGCCGACTCCTGCCGATGTGGAAGAGCAATGGCTCAAAACTCAGCTCCAACTGCTGACTGAAACCACAACCAACTCTAGGAATGACAGCCACCCTACATCTTCAGCCTCTTGTATCATGGATTTAATTTTAATCTGCATCTCCTCATCCCAATAGGTGAGGATGAGAACATAGACGGAGGGGAAAACAAGAGCTTTGCCTTTTCTTGCCAAGTTTGATTATCCTTACCAACTCTTGCCATGTCTTCTTTAGAGTCACATTTGTCCAGTTTCTTTCTGCATCCTATCATCACTGATACCAAGATGCATGAATTTTGGCACACTTTGCAGAGACTGAAGCCGGATACGGATGGAGCAGTTCATCCTTTACCATTAGAATTCCCTGCCTTCAAACTGAATTAAATGTCCTCCTGAACTCTTCATTCTTATTTGTTCCAGTGTGGAGACCCAGAGAATCCCAAACTAGACATCCTCCTTTCCATGAATATAACTTAACAACTGTTCACAAGCACCCAAAATACCACTGAAAGTGTAAAGTCACACTTGATCTATGCAAAGAATATAATCAAAGATCTTGCTTTGCTTATGTAACGACCTGGTAGCTTCTGTAAAGCATCTCTGGAACATTCGCAGCATATTCCATGCACTGATTCTGCAGACATGGAGGTAAACCTAAAGAACTACAAAGTACAACCAGACCAGGAAATCAGACTCTATGACATGTTCAATATGTTGATCTTCCTGAACCAAAATACAATCGGTTTCAAATTCCTTTCCAACACCCTGGAGAAAGGATACATTTGGTGATATATCATGATTTTCGGCTGCTAGATATAATATCAATCTTTTAGTTCCTAGCATCGATTTTAACGAGACATTTTTACCTGAAACAAAGAGCTAAAATGGGCTACCTCTGCACCGTCACTTTGTTAGATAGGGCTTTGTAGCCCTTTTGCTGTTGATGTTGAGGCAGTCACAGGGGAAGTCATGGGCTGACTAGAACCCCAAACAACATGGATACCAAAATAACCAAATTATCAATATCTTTAGATGAACATATACAGCACTTGCTGTTTTATCTATGGTGTGTCTGAAAGTCCACTCTAATCACTATATAGGGCACAATATAGTGGTTATGCCATTTTTGATGAGCGTCCGAACGTCTACTGGATGAAAAGTACTCGACTCAAAATTTCCCAGTGCACCTTGAAATATAGTGATCATCCATGGGAACTAGACGAGCAGATATATCCTGGAATGCTTTGTGCGGAGAGCT